TTTTTTTTTTTGGTAGGCAGGTAGACTTTAAAGTAACGGCAAAAAAAGAATATTGAAGAAAGAGTAGAACGTCAAAAAAAGAAAAAATTTTTTGATTGTTTGAAGGCTACTAACTCAGTCGATTAGTCAGTTAGCGAAAAAAACTTTATCATCGTCTCATTGCACCTAAATACACATTCGGTGATGCCTGTTTTCTGCTTCTTCTGACGTCAATATTCTTTGGTTGTTAGGATTGACGTTCAACAGACAACTAAACTTAACTGCTGCTACAACCACCATCCCCAAAAAAAAGAATTAAAAAATTCTGTAAAAAATTGATGGATTTTCTAAAAGAATGAAAAAGAAAAAGAAGCAGCAAGAAGAATTAGGAAAGGAATGAGAAGAAAACACCTCAACTTAAGTAATTATAAATAACTGAGACAAGAAAAAATGCGTTTTAAAAAAGCTAAAAAACTATTTGAAGACAATGGTAACACCTTGTAAAATTTATTTCTTCTCTATTTATAGCCATTATCACATTTTTATAGCTTCACCATAATGGGTAAAAAAAAGCATTTAAAAGAGCTGTTTAAAACTGCAAAAAATGTAGCACTGATACTTGAGGAACAATAAAAAAAGAGGAAAAAGAGACATTTTCCTTCTCTCCTCACTTTGTTCTCACCTTTTCCTTTTCCAGAACAATTAAGATAACAGCAAATATCAATGGCAACGTTAAACAATAATTTCACCTGTCAGACTAAAGGACATAAGAGAAAAAATAAGGTTGACCAATTATTATATGCCTTCTTATAGCTCATCAATTTTTTCTTTTTCTTAATTTATTGTTTGCTAAGGTCATTCATCTGATATAAACTGTATTCATTATAAGAAAAAAGAAAAATAAAAACGGGAAGTTGAAATACAAGAAACCTAAATTGATGTAAAAGTAGTTTGGTTTTAAGGAGAGTGCAACACTATAGAAGTTGGGTGAAATGAAACTGTGCTGTTGCTCAGCTGTTGTTGGCA